ATTAAAAATGGCTGTAAACTAAAGAGAAGCTTTAAGGGCCTCCTGGGGTTTCCGGCTGAAATTAAGGCTTAAAGTTAAAATGAAAGAAATTAGGACAATCATAAATACTAGCATTGTTGTAACTTAGTAGCATATATTTAGTAATTTATTTAATTAGTTGTATTTAGTATTGTTACAGTTGTACGGTAAATTAAAATATATATCAAAATGGACCCTTATGACTGGTTTTGTGCTCCAGGGTCACGTATTTCGTCTAAATCTGTTCCATTTAAAAACCAAATCTATAATTATTTCACATGTCAGGCGATACAGGGTTAATTCTAAGTGCTTGCAGATTAAGAGCCGGAGTGTTTTTAAAGCAGATGAACCTTTGATTTGCGGTGATATGTCGTACTGTGTCCAGTCGGTGGACAGAACCATAGCGGCCAGATGAGCTCCTGCCGAATGACCGCACAGATAAAGACCACTGCAGAGCGACAGAGAGACGCCATGAAGCACAGATATCCCATCAGCCACCTCACCTCACATATGAACAGACCTGATGTGTGAATACTGCTGGACGACAGACACCACGCTCCTGCGCACCTGTGACACCATCAGATCCATATCCCCTAAATAAACCAACATAAACACACATAAACCACACACTCGCAGAGTCAGACACGCCCCGTTATCCTCTCTGTGGACTGTACCTTTAGGAGCGACGCTGTAACCCACGGCAACCACGACCACACCCCTCTGGACCAATGGCACGGCTAGAAACCCAGACTCGTTCTTACTGTAACCAGAGCATGGGCTATTATTCAGGTCTTATTACAGTGTTCATTAACATTATCAATTCGGTTTTCATTTTTATATTTTCCGTTTTCATTTTAGTAATTTTATTGGGGAATTTGATTTTTAAAAAAATGCTTATATCATTTTTATTTCAGTTTTACCTTTAGTTATTTTAGTACTTTAAATTAAACTGAGCAAAGACAGTTTATTAGTCATTTAAGTTGTAGTAATTCTGGTGCATATGTTTGTCATTTTTATTATTTTGAGGTGTTTTTTGTTTTTTTAATGTCTATATAGATTTGATTAATTTTAGTACTTTTGAGATAAACCTATCGAAAATGAGAAATGTTGAAATGAGAAATGTTGCTAACTAGCTGAAATAAAAATAGGTTCCATTTTTTCTTGTTTTGTTTTATTTTATTTTTTATTTTTTATTATTCCAGTTTTAAAAAATTTAGTTTTTTCCACTTTTTAAGTTTATTAGTTATTTAAGTTCTAGTAATTTTGTTGTATGTTTTCATCTTCCATTTTTTAAAAAAAATATCTATATAGATTTTAATAATTTTTAATTTAACTAGCTGAAGTAAAAATAAGCTTAGGTTTTCTAATTATATTATTAATTTATTAAAAATCAAATGTTTTTTTCTTTTCATTTTAAGTTTATTAATTAAGTTTTAGTCATTTTCTTGTATATTTTTGTCATTTTTATGTATGTCTATATAGTTTTTTTATTTTATTTTTTTTCTATTCATTATTCTATTAATTTATTAAAATTTCAGCTGTAATTATTTTCCTAAACACTTTTTTTTTTTTACAGCGTTTAATATTTTTATTTAATAAGCCCTACAAACAAGCACAGCAAACCTGAGCTTTAAATAAATAAATAGCATTTTAATTCACAATCACAACTCTCATTCTCTAGGCCTTTCTGCTGATTATTATATTGAGTCTCAGCTTGAAAAGCACATGGTCACAATGCAAATGTGAAGCTCTGCTGTCTCTGACACTGATATTTGATTTGGAAATCACATGAAAATGTCCCTGGACGTAGAAATGAAGAGAAACATGAGGATCAGACCTGAGGAACTGCCAGTACCCTCCATGAAAGTAAATGAGCAGCGGCACGTCTGAAACACACCACATGGACAAGCAGTCAGCAATGAGCCGCTAATGACAGAAAAACACACCACAGCTTCGTACTCAACAGCAGACGAACTTTACAAGCTTTAGCAGACAGCAGTTAAACATCTCAATGATCTACAATGAGCAAATCTCACAAAAAACATACAGAAGTGTTACATAAAAGAAAATCGTTTGTAATAACATTTATTACAGTTTATATATTTTTTATTTAAAAGTACACCTGTATGCATACAATTCTTGACTGTTTTCAGTACTGAATAGAAAGAAAATAGAATGCACAGAGAATTGCTGATTTATTTACTGCATTTTATTACATATTTATAATAACGCACAATAAATGCACTTAATTGTCGTTATAATACTGCAAATCTTAATGGCTTAAAACAGGCTTAATTATTTTATTTATTTTTTCTAAAGACTTAATTTCTGAAATATAATTTTAATTTCATTATTTTGATTCTTTTCATTTTTATTAATATATAGTAATGTTATAAATTGTTCCAAATAGAATTAATTTTTTGGAGGTTTGTCAGATAATTAGAGACTCCTTATAATCAGTTCTCATGCGCACCTGGACTAGAGCTGCTGGGAACATAAACGTCCAGCTTCTCTCCGTCACCATCACCGTACGGGACGTCCAGCAAAGTCTGAGTGACGGACCGAGCTTTCTCTGTGCCTGCATACACATACACACACACACACACACACACACACACTTCTGATTTCAGTGTCACTGCACATGCTCATGCAAACACAACAGAGCATACACACAATCCCAGTGAGCGACTCACAGATATACAGTAGGTCACATGCTCAAAGCTCATTTATAATCTACTTTCTGTCTTAAATGCAGTGTATCTGGATGAAGATGAGCTATTTCACTGTTTCATGAATGAAATGCAGTACAGCCCTCATCAGCACACACACACACACACAGACAGACACACAGACACACACTCACTCTCTCTCACACACACACTCTCTCTCTCTCTCACACACACACACACACACACACACACTCTCTCTCTCTCACACACACACACTCTCTCTCTCTCTCTCACACACACACACTCTCTCTCTCTCTCTCACACACACACACTCTCTCTCTCTCTCTCACACACACACACTCTCTCTCTCTCTCTCACACACACACACTCTCTCTCTCTCTCTCACACACACACACTCTCTCTCTCTCTCTCACACACACACACTCTCTCTCTCTCTCTCACACACACACACTCTCTCTCTCTCTCTCACACACACACACTCTCTCTCTCTCTCTCACACACACACACTCTCTCTCTCTCTCTCACACACACACACTCTCTCTCTCTCTCTCACACACACACACTCTCTCTCTCTCTCTCACACACACACACTCTCTCTCTCTCTCTCACACACACACACTCTCTCTCTCTCTCTCACACACACACACTCTCTCTCTCTCTCTCACACACACACACTCTCTCTCTCTCTCTCACACACACACACTCTCTCTCTCTCTCTCACACACACACACTCTCTCTCTCTCTCTCACACACACACACTCTCTCTCTCTCTCTCACACACACACACTCTCTCTCTCTCTCTCACACACACACACTCTCTCTCTCTCTCTCACACACACACACTCTCTCTCTCTCTCTCACACACACACACTCTCTCTCTCTCTCTCACACACACACACTCTCTCTCTCTCTCTCACACACACACACTCTCTCTCTCTCTCTCACACACACACACTCTCTCTCTCTCTCTCACACACACACACTCTCTCTCTCTCTCTCACACACACACACTCTCTCTCTCTCTCTCACACACACACACTCTCTCTCTCTCTCTCACACACACACACTCTCTCTCTCTCTCTCACACACACACACTCTCTCTCTCTCTCTCACACACACACACTCTCTCTCTCTCTCTCACACACACACACTCTCTCTCTCTCTCTCACACACACACACTCTCTCTCTCTCTCTCACACACACACACTCTCTCTCTCTCTCTCACACACACACACTCTCTCTCTCTCTCTCACACACACACACTCTCTCTCTCTCTCTCACACACACACACTCTCTCTCTCTCTCTCACACACACACACTCTCTCTCTCTCTCTCACACACACACACTCTCTCTCTCTCTCTCACACACACACACTCTCTCTCTCTCTCTCACACACACACACTCTCTCTCTCTCTCTCACACACACACACTCTCTCTCTCTCTCTCACACACACACACTCTCTCTCTCTCTCTCACACACACACACTCTCTCTCTCTCTCTCACACACACACACTCTCTCTCTCTCTCTCACACACACACACTCTCTCTCTCTCTCTCACACACACACACTCTCTCTCTCTCTCTCACACACACACACTCTCTCTCTCTCTCTCACACACACACACTCTCTCTCTCTCTCTCACACACACACACTCTCTCTCTCTCTCTCACACACACACACTCTCTCTCTCTCTCTCACACACACACACTCTCTCTCTCTCTCTCACACACACACACTCTCTCTCTCTCTCTCACACACACACACTCTCTCTCTCTCTCTCACACACACACACTCTCTCTCTCTCTCTCACACACACACACTCTCTCTCTCTCTCTCACACACACACACTCTCTCTCTCTCTCTCACACACACACACTCTCTCTCTCTCTCTCACACACACACACTCTCTCTCTCTCTCTCACACACACACACTCTCTCTCTCTCTCTCACACACACACACTCTCTCTCTCTCTCTCACACACACACACTCTCTCTCTCTCTCTCACACACACACACTCTCTCTCTCTCTCTCACACACACACACTCTCTCTCTCTCTCTCACACACACACACTCTCTCTCTCTCTCTCACACACACACACTCTCTCTCTCTCTCTCACACACACACACTCTCTCTCTCTCTCTCACACACACACACTCTCTCTCTCTCTCTCACACACACACACTCTCTCTCTCTCTCTCACACACACACACTCTCTCTCTCTCTCTCACACACACACACTCTCTCTCTCTCTCTCACACACACACACACAGACAGACACACACTCACACAGACAGACACACACACACACACACACACTCACACACTCACACTCACCCACTGACACACTCTCTCTCTCTCTCTCTCACACACACACTCTCTCTCTCTCTCTCTCTCTCTCTCACACACACACACACACACACACACACACACACACACCTGCTTTGAGAGCGGCCACATGGGCTCTGATCACGTCATCGGCGGACATCCTGTGTGACCAGTGGCTGGGGGAGAACTGGTGCTCCAGCTCCTGTCAGAAACAACACAGACGGCACGCATTTACCCAGAAACCCTCAGTGCACAGATCAACAAACACACAGCGGCACCTGCTGGAGAGACACTGTCCTTACAGCACACTCACACATGACGGAGTAGCACACTACACTCACTCTTTCTGCAGTATGCCACGAGCAAACAGTGCACAGCACGGGAAGTCTCTGCACGCACGCAGTACTCGGATGATTTATTATTTTGGACCAGTTTTGTGCAGAATAAAACAGTGCACATAATGCAGAATACTATTATATACACTATCTATTTATTTATTTATATTTAAATGTCAAAACAAAATATTAAAAATTAATAAAAAAAATTAAATATTTTATATTAATATATAGAACAAATACACAATGTTATTAATTAAAAACACAAATCAAATTAAACATGCATAGCAGTGAGATCATATCCAGGGTAAATTATAATTAGTAAAAAATCATTACTTGAAATAAAATACACTTTAGCTGAAATAAAATAGAACATAAAAATTTTATTTCAGCTAGCTGCCCAAGCAATATTTCTCTTTCTCACATTTTTAATCTGAAGTAATGAAATTACAAAAACTAAATAAACTAAAACGTAATAAAAAAAACACATAGCCATAAAAACTAAGTCATATCAAAACAATGTTTGAAACATTTATTATTGCATACTGTTTGACATGCTAATAATAACTGTATACTGCAGATTATAAGTATATACTCACATTCAGTTCATAGTGAGCTAGTTTTCAAATAGTTTTCAGGTCACATTTAAGAAGTTTCTTCCTTCCTATGCAGTTTAGTTGCTTGCCATAAATGCTATTTAATTATTATTAATAAATACATAATATATGTATATTTCAAATGTCTCACTTATACGTGCCAGAACGAATGTTTAGCAGTTTATGAACACATTTCATAATCGATCATCCCTTCTTCAAAACTCTAGTGTTGTGTATTTGATCAATAATCATGAATTTGTCAGTCAGACACTCACGTCTTTGCTCATTGTCCTGCAGCCGCTCATGATGGTGCTCTGTGCTGCACTGGAGACCTTTGAGACAGCACGCGAGAGAGAAGCTCGAGAGTTGTTGACACACAGTCAATTATTAAGCGCTTTAAAACGCAATGCGGAAGTCACGTGATGCGCGACGCTTCGTTCCGGGTTTTTTTTCTTCCTTTTTTAATTTTTACATTTTTTTTTACAAATTTTTATTAATGAAAATAGAGCAAATAACAAACAGAGCATAGCATAAGACAGTCAGTGCTATACAAAGTGTGACATTAATTAGTCACGGGAACACTCTCACACACACACACACACACACTCAGACACACACACACACTCACGCACACACACACTTTCACAGACAGACACACACACACACACACACTCAGACTCACACTTTCACAAACACACACACTCACACACACACACACACACTCACACACTCAGACTCACACTTTTGCTTGAATATAGCGAAGTTTTTACCAAATTCCCCACGGAAGACACGAGGACAGATTCAGGTAACTGTGAGATCAATGTACTTCGCGATGAAGATCGAATGTGCATACTTTAGAAAAGCGAGGGTGGTGTTTTTAGGCTTTGTTGTGGATTGGCTTTGTAAATGTCGATAATACGTCTCTCTCCGTTATCCTCTCAGGTAATTTTCGGACCGATGTTTTCTGGAAAAAGGTGAGGATGAAGAAAAATCATAAGTATTCCTATGCGATGCTATGTTATGAAATATGAAGATATAAACTGTAAAAACAGTGTTTTGGTTCAGCGAATGGCGCCAAATACTGTTTTTTGGCGCGAGAACGGTTACGTTGTTTACAAAGACGACGCGAAATTAGCGCGAAAACCGGTTTATTGTCTCTAAAGTTGCTAGAAACCACCAGCACTCTTCATGTAAACACTATAAACGCTTTCTAAAGTTGATAGTTAGTTAAACAAGCGACTGACAACACCGAGCACTCGGTTTAGCATGAAAGACCGCTCACAGGAAACGTTCTGCTAACGTTACATAAACGTTGCTTCAAGGTTATCCGCGCTTTAAAACGTTCTCAAAATGTTAGCATTATTTGTTCATGTGACGTTTTCCTAAAAGACGTTCGTTAGACGTTCACCTAACTTTTTATAAACGTTAATACAAAAAAATAAGTTTCCTGTCACGCTTGCGAAAATTATCACATGTAATGTTCACTTAATGTTTCATAACCAAAAAACATTTGTTTGTTCTGAGAGCGTTCTGAAATGTTTTCGTAACCGTAACATTAGCCAAACGTTTTTACTAGAACATTTTTGTTAATTGGGTGAACTCTTCAGAAAAGTCATGGGTATCAACGACGTTATCTGGGGTCATATTGCTGAAAAATACAGTAAATCTATCAAAATGAACAAAAATAGGTCATGCGCTCCTGTCAGTCTGATAGATAAAGTTGATAGTTAGTTAAACAAGCGACTGACAACACCGAGCACTCGGTTTAGCATGAAAGACCGCTCACAGGAAACGTTCTGCTAACGTTACATAAACGTTGCTTCAAGGTTTTCCGCGCTTTAAAACGTTCTCAAAATGTTAGCATTGTTTGTTCATGTGACGTTTTCCTAAAAGACGTTCGTTAGACGTTCACCTAACTTTTTATAAACGTTAATACAAAAAAATAAGTTTCCTGTCACGCTTGCGAAAATTATCACATGTAATGTTCACTTAATGTTTCATAACCAAAAAACATTTGTTTGTTCTGAGAGCGTTCTGAAATAATGTTTTCGTAACCGTAACATTAGCCAAACGTTCTTACTAAAACATTTTTGTTAATTGGGTGAACTCTTCAGAAAAGTCATGGGTATCAACGACGTTATCTGGGGTCATATTGCTGAAAAATACAGTAAATCTATCAAAATGAACAAAAATAGGTCATGCGCTCCTGTCAGTCTGATAGCAGGGCTCTGTGTACGGTGGCCGAGAAGTGCAAAGCAAATCACAATTCTGAAAACAGAATAACAAATTACAAACGCAAATGCGGGTGTAACAAACAAAATAATTCAGAAAGCACAACAAAATCTGTGTATCATTCGTTTTTTGATTTAATATCGAAAGTAGAAAAATGAGAAAACGGCTCCTTTTTCGTTTTTTTTCCCCCAAAAATTGAAAAAGAGAATTCGGCATAAATTTAATTTTTTCGCTCGGGGGTAGAAAACTGAAAAAACGGCTTAAATATTCGATTTCTACACGTGGGCGGGAATTAAACGCCCCTTTCTGCTGATTGGTCAGCCGAAGATCAAATGATATGGTTCACTTTTCGGGGGTTTTCCACTGGGTACAGTACCTGGTACCTGGTACTTTTTTTTAGTACCACCTCGGTTGGGGTTCCAAGTGAACCGTACCGTTACCAAAACGTGACGTGTAAACTCCGCTGAGAGAATCGTCACTACCCGCGTCACTGAACTTGCGACACAAACACAACAGAACTGCTAGATTTAACTCGGCATAGCCAGCGACGGATCAAACGCAGCTGTTTTGAACGAGCGCACCTTTTTTTTAACAACCAAAGAAGTTTTGTTGTCTGTTGCGGAAGTACAGACGTTCCTCTCGTTGATAGCAGAGGAGCGGATCCAGCGAGAGCTTGATGGGGTGACGCGGAATAAATGTTTTTTTTAGGAGTCGTGGTAGTAGAGGCGGCGCAACTATAACGACGTGAATAATCCCGCCCACTCTAAAGCGGTACTGACCTGCGGTGGAAACACAAGCCATGCCGAGTCGTACCACGCAGTGGAAAAGCGCCATAATAGTCCTCTGCTGCTGCAGTTGTATGGATTAATTACCCATTTTATTGCAACTACATTTCATATTTTTCTCATCAAACAGACTAATGAATAGCTCGACACAACTCGTACCGGGGCAGATGGCTTTCTTTTGCGTAGACCAGCGGTTCTTAATAGGCCCTTTCGCACCGCTTTAGTTCCAGAACTAAATGTACGGTACTAAAGTACTGGGACGATTTTGCGCGAACTATATCCCAGTACCATTTAAAGGGTTGCATTCGCACCGAGAGTGTGTACTAAGAAGTGACGTAAGCCGGTCGACAGCGACGTCATTTGTGCGCGGCGTTCAACAACAGAAACAAAGAAGAACAACATTAACAACAGGAGGATGGAGGACGCTGTGATCGGAGCTGTGTGTTTGTTGTGTCTCGCGGGTTTCACAATAATAGACATGGAAAGTCGACGTATACGTAAAGCGACTGAAAGAACGGAAAGGAGGACTAAGAATCTCCAACGACAACTGGCCGTGCTACATTTGCTACAAGTGCCTGCACTTCAGCGTCCGTCCATCTATCGCTGTTCTCCATACTTGAGAAATAAGTTGACACAATGTTTACAGTATGTTTACACGGCGTTTTAAATCATGGCGGGTGAGGGCGTTTTCATACGCGTTTGGCCAATCAATGTCTACTTGCGTCACGATTAGTACCAGTTGTGCTGGTTAGACCCTGCTCCGGAGTAGGAGCTCATTTGGTTCTCGAAAAAGGCAGTCCGGTACTAAAATCGCTCCCAGTTCCGGCGGTGCGAACACGCCGAAAAGTGGGTAGTTCCACAATTAGTTCTGGTACTATGAAAAGGTTCCTGCGGTGCGAAAGACCCTAATGTGATAGGGGTTCCGCGAAATAATTAGCTATAGCCTAAAGTATTTCCAGACTGTATACATAGGCCTACTGTGATTTACATTTACATATACATTTTACCATACGACTATAAATGACAGAGTATTAAGTTATTTCCCCTCGATGGGGAAAAAAATCCAAGTGAACATCAATCAGTACTCAATATTAATGTAAACTGCTTTAAATATGACTGCTGCTTATTTCCGGTGCACTTCTGCGCTTGACTGTAGTCGCGTCTGTCTGCTTATTGAGTTTATTTAACCCATCGCAATTTATTGGAACTGTGAACTAGAGTGACTACTCACTAGGGATGTATGCATGACAAAATACTGCACGTTTCTTTGTGAAATTGAAATAAAACTATAATAATATACTAATATAGCACTTGTAAATTATTGCTCTTTTGTTGGTTTTGATTGCTTCTATTGTCCTAATTTGTAAATCGCTTTGGATAAAAGCGTTTGCTAAATACCAACATTTTAATATAATGTAAATAACAAAACTAAATAGCAATTTTAAAACAAGCCCCAAATAAAATAAATCTCTTCATATAAACAAAATATGTTTTAATACATTCATATAAACATACTTTACATTTAAAATTAGAGGCAACCAAATTACATTACATTGTATAATTTCGAAATTAAGCAAAAACTAAATGGTTTGACTTCAGTTTTGTGAAACTATGCATAAAAAATATCTGCATGAAACGGAAACAGCAGACGAGCTGAACGAGATGCAGATGCACTCTCTGCCAGTAGGTGGCGCTTGAAGCGTTTCTTTGGTTTCGGCTGTAAACAAAGCAGCGCTGCACTTATGAACTTTAATATGCATTATACAGAGGCAAGAGGAAAATAAAAAAATACCATCTAAACTTTTCTAAAGACAGTAAGTTCCCCTCAGACATGCATTCATATAAACTCCTAACCCTAACTGAATCGCGATTTGTTTGGCATCTCAACCGATTTGAATCGTCACATATTTAAATCGATTTCCAACCGGCTCGCGGTTAATCGTTACATCCCTACTACTCACCTTAATGTTGTTCTAAAGGCTTATTACTTAATAACACAAACATGTCCTGCTCGCACATGGCAATTTAATGGCAGAGAATGGTGACTAGGTTTAGTTTTTTGTTTTTAAGCGGATGCATATCTGTCGTAAAATAATCATATGCATCTCGTGGCGTATATTCCAAGCATTCTGAAGGTATACTGAGGGTTTGGTGAGAAACTGAAATGGCAAGTTATTATATTTTATGAAAATCTTGCGTTGCAGTGCGAGTGCGCAGCAGCTCACGCTGCGCACAAGTGCATATCTTTTTGAGATATCAATTATAATACATTTTAATAAAACACAAGACTACTTTATAAAACTCTAACAGATTTAATATCTGTTGTTCTCCGGTTGTCAGTCAAAATGACAGTTCTTGCGTGAACATTATAGGCCTATTTATACCCAAGCCAATTTATTATTCCTTCCTTTTTGTCTTAATTAGTTTCAAAATAAATATTTTAAACACTAATTAAACAAACGGACTTACTGGGTGAGCAGGGTAGGCTAAGACAGCTGTCATATCATACCCTGCCATGCCCAGCTGATGCAAAGAATAGAATTTATATCTACACAGAAGAAAGCCCTGTCTAGACTCTGCCCCGGTATGAGTTGTGTCCAGCTATTCATTAGCCTGTTTGTTTGATGAAAAAAGATGAAATGTAGTTGCAATAAATGTTAAGAATCCAACTGCAGCAGCAGAGGACTATTATTCTGCTGCATGATACTGCGGAAGAACTGATGACGGCACGGTTTGATCTTCGGCTGACCAATCAGCAGAAAGGGGCGTTTAATTCCTGCCCACGTGTAGAAATCCAATATTCAAGCGGTTTATTCATTTTTCTACCCCTGAACGAAAAAAATTTAAATTTAAGCTGAATTCTCATTTTTCATTTTTTAGAAAAAAAAACTAAAAAGGAGCCGTATTCTCATTTTTCTGCTTTCAATATTAAATGAAAAAACAAATGATCGAATGATACACGGATTCAACAACAATTCAGAAAACATTATAACAAGTCAGAAATCACAACGACAAATCAGGAAGAGGTGGGTATAGTTTGAGACAGCGCCATTGGTTTGGGATTACTCACCACTGATTGGACGAGACATTTTGTCGTTGTGTTTTCTGACTTGTTATGTTTTCTGAATTGTTGTTGTGCTTTCCGAATTATTTAGTTTTTTAGACTTGCATTTGCTTTTGTAATTTGTTATTTTGTTTTCAGAATTGTGATTTGCTTTGCACTTCTCGGCCACCGTATCTTTGAGACTCCAGACAGCAGCACTAATGTTACATTTTCTGATGCATATCATTAGGTTATCATAAAATCAGCTGGATTATGATGTTGATTGCATTATGAATGTGTGTGTGTGTTCAGCACTGAACTGATGCGGCGCGTGCGGAGGTTTCAGGTGGCTCAGTATTCCTGTCTTCTCGTCAAATATGCCAAAGACACGCGCTACTCTCAGACGGGGATGGCCACGCATGACATGTAAGAGAGCAGCTGGTGTATATCGGGGTGTGGTTGTGTCAGGGTGTGGGTGTGTGGGTGTGTGTCAGGGTGTTGGGGTGTGTCAGGGTGTCTGATGTCACATGGACTGTTTTAACGATGTCCTTGCTACGTTTCTAGAGTCTGGGAACATTACAGTTGCGTTGCTGTCTATGCAGAGTCAGAGCTCTCGGATTTCATCAGAAATATCTTAATTTGTGTTCCGAAGATGAACAAAGGTCTTACGGGTTTGGAACGACACGAGTAATTAATGACAGAATTTTCATTTTTGGGTGAACTATCCCTTTAAGGCCACATGTTAAATGCCAAACAGTCTCCTATTGGCTGCCTGCGGCGTCACGTGGTGTCGTGTTTCAGGTTTCTGTGCAGGTCAGGGGTCAGTAGACAGGTGGCTGGTAGTTGCTCTGGCCGGATGGGTCAGGGTTCGGTGTGATGGGCGGCTGCTGGAAGATGTCTGAACCGGTGTTCTGGAAGGACGGATATGTGGGTGGTGTGTAGGTGGTGGGATACGGTGAAGTGGGGTCCGCTGGCGGATCGGCGTAGTTCTGGGTCACGTCTGCAACGCCCTGACGAAACCTTATCAGGGCGAAGTACGTTAACGCTCCCTGAGAAGACGAGAGATTCGGCTGTCAATCAACGACTTGAAGTGGGATTTTGAACTTTACAATAATCAAGGTTTTTTATAAATGTAGTTTTTTGCAAGACACCACAAGTGAACGGGGTGAAAATGTGAACTAATCAATTTCACTATACACAGTCAAACCAAAAAAATCATTCAGATAGCAGATATAATTTTTGATATTTTTTTACTTAGTGGGTGCAGGACACTATAGTTCATTTATGTAAGTGAGGATAGCAAAATAAAGTTAACTGTGACATATTATACCCAAAAATTCTTCATACAGCGGACTAACAGTGAAATTTGGGAGCAAAAACTATTCAGACACTTTGAGCTGAGCATGTTTTATTTCATACCTTTCTATCAAAGTTATCTGACATTATCAAGATGAATTTGTTCTGACACATTTTAACTCTGAGTCATATTTTATTACCATTTTCTAAACTACAGCCAATAAACTGATATAATGTGATAAATATTGAAGGTGTCTGAATATATTTGGGATTGACTACTTCCTACAGTTGATTAATCACAGTACATTAAGACATTAAGTATTGTACTACAAGTTTTCTGAGATGCTATATTTACATATGCACTTGAATTTTCAGAAAATAAATATGAATATTGGATAAAGCCAGACTCAAAATTCTGGTTTGATATTGTTGACAGGTTACAGTCAAAGGTTTTTACTGAAGGGATTTTGGATTTCTCTTTTTATCACTCCATAAATCAGACAATACTGTCAACAGACAGAAATCAAACACATTTTGACCATGTTTTAGGAGTAAAATATTATATAATTCGGTGTGAGTGATATATGAACAAACCCCTCAGTAAAAACCTTCAGAATATAGAGAGGAATAAAACTGCTAAGTTTGGTGTATGTGAGTGCTGCTGAAGAGGAGAAAACTTTTAAAGATTTGGATTGTAATTGAAATCTACAGACGCAAATAAAAAAAGTGCAATAAAACAAACACATAAATGTGTGTTTTGGATGTTTTCTGTCCACTGGTCTGATAGAAGAGATGTTATGGATGCAAAATAGACCAGTGCATGAAAAAAAACGATGGTTTTGCCTGTAGTGTATCGCCTTATTGCAGTTTTTCTATTTGGGTCTGTAAATTACAATAATTTCGGTTACAATGTATTGGGGCTGTGCGATATTGAAGAAAAATGCGATATGCGATACGATAATGCTTAAAGTGCCACATGCTCAGATGAAACAGTTTTACTCAGCTGTTGCTGAGTCAGTTCTGTGAACCTCTATAAATATATTGTGTCATATATATATATATATGGTTATTATTTGTATGTATGCATGTACCAAGAGTTCCTGTAAAACCACAACAAATTCCTTGTGTTTGCGCACACTTAAGTGGTGAATAAAACTCATTCTGATTCTAATAAGAAAGCACCCCTACAACAACGATAAAATAAAAATGATAAAACTGTAATTTTAACATGAGTTTAGGAACTGAATAATAAAAAATAAAAATAAAACACTGCTTAGAATTTACTCTTTGAATTCAATATGCACTGATTCTTATTTAAGCTACAAAAGTTATTTAGGTCAGAGCAGTGAGTGATTTTCTCTTTGTCTTTTGTTCATGGCCCCAAATATTGCAAGCTGTAGCGATATGCATATTGTGATATGTACATTTGCGATATTTCGATATATTGCACAGCCCTACAATGTATATATCTTCAAAGGCCATGAGTTTGTTTCTCCACTTCAGCAGCACTTAAATACACCAAAACTTACAGTTTTATTCCCATCTATATTTTGAAGTTTTTTACTGAGGGGATTATGGATTTCTCTTTTTATCACTCCATAAATCAAAATATTGTCAGCAGACAAAAAGCAAATATATGTTCACCATGTTTTAAGAATAAAATGTTGTATAAATCAGTGTTAATTATATATGAACAAACCCCTCAGTAAAATCCTTCAGAATATAAATAGCAATAAAACTGTAAGTTTTGATGTTTGTAAGTGCTGCTGAAGTGGATAAAAAACTCATTTTGAGAAAACGATTTTAAGCGACTTTAAAGAATTGCATTGTAATTGATATTTACAGACACAAAAAATAAAGTGTCATAAAATAAACATATGTGTATTTTAGATGCTTTTTCCCCACTAGTATCAAAGATTTCTCTTTTTATCACTCCATAAATCAAAATATTGTCAGCAGACAAAAAGCAAATATATGTTCACCATGTTTTAAGAATAAAATGTTGTATAAATCAGTGTTAATTATATATGAACAAACCCCTCAGTAAAATCCTTCAGAATATAAATAGCAATAAAACTGTAAGTTTTGATGTTTGTAAGTGCTGCTGAAGTGGATAAAAAAACTCATTTTGAGAAAACGATTTTAAGCGACTTTAAAGAATTGCATTGTAATTGATATTTACAGACACAAAAAATAAAGTGTCATAAAATAAACATATGTGTATTTTAGATGCTTTTTCCCCACTAGTATCAAAAGAGACAAGTTATGGAAGCAAAACATCCCTCCATAATTCAGAAAATACTGTCAACAGCCAGGAAAAAAACCCAACAAAGAATAACATTTTCGGAAATAAAATGTTGTATAAAATCAGGTGAATGACATACAAACAAACCCCTCAGTAAAATCCTTCAGAATATAAATAGCAATAAAACTGCAAAATTTGGTGTATGTAAGTGCTGCTGAAGTGGTGAAACAAACTCATTTTGTGAAAATGACTTTAGCCGACTTTAGGCAGATTGAAGTAGTTTTACTGTAGTAACTATCCATCAGTTCATCAGACAGATCTCACACACTCACCCACGATGCGATGGAGAAGAATGAGAAGGCGATGATGGCGTGGACGGCGTCTGTAGGGATGCCACTGGTTTCTTGGGTCTTTGACCACTGATCCGCCAAGAGACAGAAACACACAAACCACAGGAACGTCCAGGCAGCTGATAAACACACAGCACAGAGAGCACAGACACGAGTCAAAACCATTTAATTGATTAGACAATCAGAGACTCTTGAGACAACAAATCAGCCATGAAAAAAACCGTCCACACACAGAAAACACAGAAGAAAAAGTCAAACGGGTTTGGAATGGCATGAAGGCGAGTACATGATGACAGAATGAACAGGTGAAAAAAGGTTGTATAAATCAGTGTGAGTGAAATATGAACAAACCCCACAGTAAAAACCTTCAGAATATAGAGAGGAATAAAACTGTAAAGTTTGGTGTATGTGAGTGCTGCTGAAGTGGAGAAAAAACTTTTAAAGGACTGTATTGTAATTGAAATCTACAGACACAAATAGATAAAATGTCATAACACTTAAAATCATATTTTGGATGTTTTCTTTCCATTAATATGAAAGAAGACATGTTATGGAAGCACAATATAACTCAATAAATCAGAAAATACTGTCAACAGCCAGAAAAAAACTTAATTTTCACTATATTTTTAGGAATTAAATGCTGTATAAAATCGGGTAATTGATATATGAACAAACCCCTCAGTAAAAACCTTCAGAATATAGAGAGGAATAAAACTGCTAAGTTTGGTGTCTGTAAGTGCTGCAGAAACATATTTTGAAAAAACTAATTTAAGCGACTTTAAAGATATGCATTGTAATTGAAATCTACAGACGCATATAAAATAAATACTTGTGTACTCTGGATGTTTTCTTTCCACTAGTCTGAATGATCATTATTGGGTGAACTATTACTGCAATAGTATTAAAATATATTAATATTAACACAAGGATTTGACAAAATAGGTCAGTGATTAAATTAAACTAACCCAGCTAACTGAAGCCACAGAAAATACAGGACTTTGGTTTTAAACCCTGCAATAAGGGGGCTCAAAATGGCTTAAAGTGATTCAAAACAAGCATTAAAATAAGATTAAAGAACTAAAAATCAAGATAATCCATATTTTTATCTTTGAAGAAACAGGATTTTTATAATAAATGTACATTTATCTAGTTTTGCCGATCTCTAAAATATTTTTTCAGGTAGAAATTGTGAGTAAAAATATTTGTATTCAATAAATCATGAACAGCTGGAAAAGTCATCTAAATTCATTGGTTAAAAAAGAGCAGGAACCCTGAAGAACATTCAACATCATTCAGCTTCTGGAATGCTGAAATTGAACCATTTGATTTTAATTATAATTATTTTGGCTTATTTTAATCTACAGAGACTCCTGGTTTATATTTGGGGCCTATGAATAGGATTGTGGATAGTGGCCTTTGAGCCACAATAAAATGCAACCAAAAGACTTCACAATCGTCATTGATTGTATCATTGATATATGGATATTATGTACAGTTTTTGTTATGAATTTGAATTAGATTTTATTTTTAGATTTTGTTTTCACTTTAATTTTAGTTAGACTTTTAGTAATTTTGTTGTATGTTTTTGTCATTTGTATTAGTCTATTTACCATTTATTAATTTTTGTTTATTTATTTATTATTATTATTAATTTTTTTTAACTTAAACTAAATGAAAATGAGAAATGTTGCCATGGCAACTGTCTGAAATACAAAAAATATATATATTTTATTTTATTTCAGTTAATGTTTATTTTATTTCAAGTAACAAAAATTTTTTTTCTTATGGATTGAGTTTACTATAATAACCCTGATATACATCAACTGACAAACAGATGCCATTTCAATTGGTATATTTTCGAATAATAGTGAAAACAAGTAGGATTGAAGCGTTTGGCGTATCACACAGGAAGAGGCCATCTGAGCGACATGTGCATGTGTTAATGTACAGTGAACAACCACAAGACGTTTCACTTTTAGAGAAAGATGCCACAATAACAGGTCAAGTGGAAAAACAGACCTTCAGAAAATGGAATCAGAGTTTCCACAAACGGAACAGACAGCTCTGAGGAAACTGGTATAAACCTTGATCACCGACGCAGAAATGACTTGAGGAACATCTCACCTGAGAAGCCCAGATCAGCCATCACCATGTACTTCCTCTCCTGAGCATTGCTCATCAAAGGCAAGACCGCATCAGCCAATAGGAAGGCGAAGCAGGCCAGGAAGGAGATGACGCCGATGCCCACGCCGTAATGACAGGCCCCTTCATTCCTGTTGAAGACGCACTTCACCTGTACGTCAACCTCGCTGTTCACGTAACCTTCGGCGGTTATGGAGGCAAACACCACAATGGCGAACACCTGACATGAAGAGAAGTGAAAGCTGCATCAAACCATAAAAGCAGAAATAAAACAACCAGATCTTCACATTTTCAGAAGCAAAGCTCTCTCTAAATATTAACTTCAGCTCAGAATTTCCCAATGGGGGTGCAAACACATTTGCACGATCTCTAACATTTCTTTAGGCAGAAGTTTACAGAATTTCACCAAGAGTCCGCCAAAATAAAACCTCAAGGATTTGAAGAATTTAGGATAAAATAAGACTATTTCATAATCATCTTTTTTCGTACAGAACAAGTGTAATTTACAAGATATTTTTGTCTTCATTTTTGTGATTAGAGTACTGAATGGGTGCCGTCAGAATGAGAGTCCAAACAGCTGATAAAAACATCACAATAATCCACAGCACTCCAGTCCATCAGTTAACATCTGGAGAAGACAAAAGCTGAAACTAATCCAGCATTAAGATGTTTTTAACTAAAATACATAGAGTCTATAATCCATAATAACTCTTCCTCCAGTGAAGAAGTGCATCTCCTGTCATCTCTCACATCAAAATCCAGCCACATATGTGTTTAGAGCTGTTTAAACGCTGCTTGATCTGTGCAGATTTCTCTCCTGATTCACACCAGAACACTGACTCACTGGAGGAAGAGATATTATGGATTATGTACTCAATGCATTTTAGTTAAAATCATCTTAATGCTGGATTAGTTTCAGCTTTTGTCTTCTCCAGATGTTAACTGATGGACTGGAGTGCTGTGGATTATTGTGATGTTTTTATCAGCTGTTTGGACTCTCATTCTGACGGTACCCATTCACTGCTGAGCAAGTGATGCAATCTACATTTCTCCAAATCTGATGAACAAACAAACGCATCCTAATCTCGGATGGCCTGAGAGTGAGCACATTTTTTTGAGCACTAATTGTTATTTTTGGGTGAACGCACACGTTAATGTTAAAAGCATGTGTCTGAATGAGTTTCATGTTATTGTGAAAGAGCTGCAGGCTTCTGACAAGTGTAATAATGTATATGTTTTAAAGAACACCTGAAAGAGGAATAAATGTGAAATGGATGAGCGTGCAGCGAGAAGAGGATGGAAACACTGAGAGCAGGAAGAGGTCGCGGCCACACGCCTCCGCCGATGTGTTTTCATGCAAATGTGTCACAAAGATCAGACAAACTTCAGAATCACTGTAGGAGAAACGGATAAGCGTTACGCCATTCTGTAGCAGGCCTCTCGTATTACCAGCCATCTGCCGTGTTTACATGTCAGCACTGGGACATTCTGTGCTTGTGCACTAAATCACATGATGCACATGATCACAGACACAACTAACTAACTACTGAGTGACTAGAGAGACACACAACCAAACACACTGCTGCTGTGCAAATGTGTATGACGCCGTAAACAAATTACCCCGAGCAAATCTAGACATGGCTGACAAGGTCATCTGATGCCGTCATCTAGACCAGGACTAGATATGAATCAGTTCTCAGTGACTCTTTCTTCAGCGTCTGTGGAAAGCCCCTTCATATCATATGCCTGAACAGCTAAATTAACCATGTTTACACTTGTGAACGTACACCAATCCAGCTCCTATTCTGAGAATTTACATTTGAACGTCGAAAACTCTCTTTGACAGATTTGAGGATGTTTTCTGCTGTTCAATAGAGTCTTCAAAAGATCAATTCATTTAATCAGCCATTCAGGACGACTCTAAAACAGTCAGAAATAGAGGCAGACGGTTGATTTCGGTCCTGAAAGTGAAGCATGCAGACTGACTCTTTTATACATTTACACTATTAAGACTTTTTCTTTTCTGTAGCACTTTATACAATACAGTTTGTGTCAAAGCAGCTTGTATTGTACTGTGTTAATGTTGTAAAATGCAGTAATTATGAAACCAGAAGACAAATGAGTGAATATACAACTCATTAATAGCTTCAGTTCATCATCAATTATGCTTTTTAAACTGAACCCAGCTGTGTTTTAATACGTTTTTCTCGGTTATGCAAACATTTAGGAACACATTTAAGGGAACGTTACATTGTATCATTACGAGAACGTTCCTTTGAAATGTTTTCTGAACGTTCTGAAACAAGAAGCAATGGTTAAGACTATAACATCCAACTAAAACGTTTCAGAAAAAAACCCGTGCGTGATACAAAAGTAACATTTTTGAACTTTTTGAGAACATTATTAAATACCATGTAACTTTAAATGAACGTTACATTAACCTAAACGTTTGCTTATAAATTTGACAGAAACTCAGGAAGGTTTAAACCCATTTCACCCTGACCCTGCTGTCGATTATTAATCATAATAAGCCGATGATTTGAACGTGACACATGCCACTCACCCAGCTGAGGAACCGTATGATAGTTTGAGGCTGTTTGATGAATTTGATGGGATCGAATCCCGCTCCGGCGAGCGAGGCTCCGTACGCCGCACTGTTGTTCGACTCCATCGGTGAAACACACACACACACACACACTCTCTCTTTCTCACACACACACACACAAGCGACAGCTGAAAACACAACACGGACACACCCCCCGGTGCAGCTGCTTCCTCACAGACCGATGTCAGATTCGCGAGTGAATCGTTCTATTGAACCGGATCTTTTTGATGATTCACACCATCCAGGCGACCGTTAAAACGAACTGTTCAAAAGAACCGATTCGCTAAAATGATCCAAACTTCGCGACGTTGAGTGAAAATTCAATACGTTTAAAGTCCTCAACGTTACTACAAACCATTATTGATTAAATTACGGCAGTTTCATGTTTAATAATGAGATAATAAGGATATTAAGACACGATTGTGTTTTAACATCCTTACACTGTTTCAAAACTTTGCCTTTTTCTTCCATAACTTCACACACAAATACAAGAATTGCACACAAAATGCAAAAAGCCTCGCATCTCTTGCAAAATGAAGCACTGCATTCAAAATATCACTAACACATCTCAAAAGCAAATGTTTGCAAACAGCTTTGCCATAACATTAATTCCTGTTAGATTTGTGTGTGGTACATAGAGAACTGTGTGTTGTGTTTTGCAAAAAGTGTTTTCTGAAATTGAAAACGGAGTCAAAGGCTGAGAATCAGTGTCTGGTTTTGTAGGTTTGGTGTGTGCTTCTGCTGTTTGAGTGTCAGCTTTCAGAAACTGTGTGACAATCCTTATTATCCTTATAATGGTTATATTTAACCATTACAGTGTAGATGAACAACAGCTAAAAAACAACGCCGTCCATTCAAACCAAGAATGCACAAATTATCTGTTTTGTATTCATTTGTCATTAAAATGAACATTGTACACTGTTGGCTTTATCAAAACATATTTTTGTATTTATTTGTAATTTTCACTTCCTCAAAACCACACACACAAACACACACACACACATTTACTTGTTTAACTGCATATACTTCTATTGTTCACACATACAGCTGGCTAAATACAAATATTATAATCTAACAGCACATTTTCTGAAAATTTCACATTTTTACAAATGAGGACATCCCCAAAGCAGGTTTTGTCAGGTTTAGCTCATTTGGTACCACGCTGCTGAAAAAACAATAGACACCATTACAACATTTGTAATGGTTTTATTGGTTATGGTGGGACTTCTACTGGTTATTGGTCGCCTTTTATTGGTGGCTTGTTAAAACCCCTAAACCCTAATGGAATATGTCCCAAAACACACTACAGAAAACCATTTTTAATGGTTTTAATGGTTAAAAGTTGATGGTTTGTAATGGTATTTGTAGTGGAAACCATTAAACATTTATGTGATGGTTTCTATTGTTTTTTTCAGCAGGGAATTTGTCTCCAAAATACAGTTAAGTAGGTACAAACACACTATTATTTGACATGAATCTGACAGTAGACACATTGTTGGCTGTCTTTGCTTCTGATTGGTCACAGTCATGTCAACCCATGAGCGCTTGTCTATTGTTTCGTTTTGAATAAACCTTTGTCTGAACAGAATAACATGCAACGGATAAGTGAAGGCAACCAAATGCTTTCAGTTTCAGTGGATCTGATTAAACTCCCAGAAAACCCAGGAATCATTCTGAAACCGCGCCTTCATACAGAACGCTTTCATCCACGGATTGGTCTTCATCCTGTCAAACAGAACAAAATGACAATTTTAATGTTCGAAACACCTCTAGAACTGTCTAGAAATCAGTCTAGAAATAATAGCTCATACCTCAGCAGAGTCACTCAATCTGTCCGCTTGGACAACGTCTTCCTCATAACCCTCCAACATCTCAAACAAAAGAATCACACACAAATGCTCCTTAACCAACAATAACTTAGTAAGCGGCCTATCTAGACAATATTCTAAGGCATGTTCCAAAGAGAAGAAATTATGCACTTTTTTGCCCAATTTTGAGGCAGGTTCATTATATGTCATTCATTACTAAACGTCTCTGTTTATGAACTAAAAGATAATCACTAATAAATGCATCCTCACTAGATAATCTTCATCCTCTTCTTCTTCATCTTCCTGTTTATCTGTGATTCTCATTTTTCGGCGTTGTTCAGTGAGTCTTAAATAAAAAGCAGGACTTTAGCTCAACAATACATTTGATTTTATGCTAGATTTATGACTTTGTAAAATAAAAAATGGAAAACTCACGGGTATTTTCTTGAATATCTTCTCCCTGAGAACATGTCAGAATGAGCGTATAGTTTTACACAGTCAAAATAATGATGAATTGCACATAACAAACAATACATATGCTATAATGAGTGATATAGATGCGCTTGGACAACGTCTTCCTCATAACCCTCCAACATCTCAAACAAAAGAATCACACACAAATGCTCCTTAACCAACAATAACTTAGTAAGCGGCCTATCTAGACAATATTCTAAGGCATGTTCCAAAGAGAAGAAATTATGCACTTTTTTGCCCAATTTTGAGGCAGGTTCATTATATGTCATTCATTACTAAACGTCTCTGTTTATGAACTAAAAGATAATCACTAATAAATGCATCCTCACTAGATAATCTTCATCCTCCTCTTCTTCATCTTCCTGTTTATCTGTGATTCTCATTTTTCGGCGTTGTTCAGTGAGTCTTAAATAAAAAGCAGGACTTTAGCTTAACAATACATTTGATTTTATGCTAGATTTATGACTTTCTAAAATAAAAAATGGAAAACTCACAGGTATTGTCTTGAATATCTTCTCCCTGAGAACATGTCAGAATGAGCGTATAGTTTTACACAGTCAAAATAATGATGAATTGCACATAACAAATACATATACATATGCTATAATGAGTGATATAGATTAACTTACGTAGCACAACTCCATAAATACAGCAAGTTATCACAGCGACGTTCAGCAGGGCAAAAGAGGTGAAAACAACAATCACAACCAAAGGAGAGACTGTGTTCAGTGCTGCAAAAATACAGACAGACAGAATTCATCATAGCCAGACTGATGCAGAACAGTTTGAGTGTTTGCGACTGTAGCGTAACACATCATAGTTAATTATAGTTTAGCTATAGCATTATGATATGCTTGACGAATCTTGTCAAACAATGAAAAAAGAACCAAATAATCAATAATGAATGAGAGGAGAACTTGAATTTGGACTTTTGAATTTGTCTCAAAACTCTCAAAACTTCTTCTTCATAACGTCATGTATGAATATACATTTTTTAGAAATACATTTTATATGATACAGCAAGTTATCACAGCGACGTTCAGCAGGGCAAAAGAGGTGAAAACAACAATCACAACCAAAGGAGAGACTGTGTTCAGTGCTGCAAAAATACAGACAGACAGAATTCATCATAGCCAGACTGATGCAGAACAGTTTGAGTGTTTGCGACTGTAGCGTAACACATCATAGTTAATTATAGTTTAGCTATAGCATTATGATATGCTTGACGAATCTTGTCAAACAATGAAAAAAGAACCAAATAATCAATAATGAATGAGATTGGAGAACTTGAATTTGTCTCAAAACTCTAAAAACTTCTTCTTCATGACGTCATGTATGAATATATATTTTTTAGAAATACATTTTATATGTATTCATATATTCCTTTGTAAAATACACATTTAATATAAGATTTAATTTCAAATAAAAGGTAATTTATTCATTTTACACATGCATGTATAAATTTCAGAAAAATAGGTTGTTTATATATTAAATTGCCCAATTTTGAGGCAGGTTCATTATATGTCATTCATTACTAAACGTCTCTGTTTATGAACTAAAAGATAATCACTAATAAATGCATCCTCACTAGATAATCTTCATCCTCCTCTTCTTCATCTTCCTGTTTATCTGTGATTCTCATTTTTCGGCGTTGTTCAGTGAGTCTTAAATAAAAAGCAGGACTTTAGCTTAACAATACATTTGATTTTATGCTAGATTTATGACTTTCTAAAATAAAAAATGGAAAACTCACAGGTATTGTCTTGAATATCTTCTCCCTGAGAACATGTCAGAATGAGCGTATAGTTTTACACAGTCAAAATAATGATGAATTGCACATAACAAATACATATACATATGCTATAATGAGTGATATAGATTAACTTACGTAGCACAACTCCATAAATACAGCAAGTTATCACAGCGACGTTCAGCAGGGCAAAAGAGGTGAAAACAACAATCACAACCAAAGGAGAGACTGTGTTCAGTGCTGCAAAAATACAGACAGACAGAATTCATCATAGCCAGACTGATGCAGAACAGTTTGAGTGTTTGCGACTGTAGCGTAACACATCATAGTTAATTATAGTTTAGCTATAGCATTATGATATGCTTGACGAATCTTGTCAAACAATGAAAAAAGAACCAAATAATCAATAATGAATGAGAGGAGAACTTGAATTTGGACTTTTGAATTTGTCTCAAAACTCTCAAAACTTCTTCTTCATAACGTCATGTATGAATATACATTTTTTAGAAATACATTTTATATGTATTCATATATTCCTTTGTAAAATACACATTTAATGTAAGATTTAATTACAAATGAAAGGTAATTTATTTATTTTACACATGCATGTATAAATTTCAGAAAAATAGGTTATGTTTATATATTAAATATATTTATTTATAATATAAATTATATAAATATAAACGTAGACATCTAAATACATGTAAATATTTTCAAAACATATACTGTATGTGTATTTATATATACATAAAAAATATACACAGAACACACACATACAGTATATTATGAAAACAAACACTTTTATTTTGGATGCAATTAATCGTGATTAATCTTTTGACAGCACTAATATTTAGAAACATCATATGATTGAATGCATATAAATTAGCCCAGACTCTTCATAACAGGGAGAGCAGCAGCTATTTGACTATTTGATCATATATTAATTCTTCCTTTTAAAAAAATCCCCTTTCTAAAGTGATTCAGTGTAGTGTTTGGTGTCAGGCTTCTGTACCCTCTTTACTGATCAGCATCTTTGGGCTGCGGATGCTGGTGCTGTTGTCGAATCTGTCTGAAGCTTGGCAGTGGTAGAATCCAGCGCTGTCTCGGCCTACAGACAGAGACAGAACGAATTTGTCTGCGTAGAAACCTCCTTGGCCCAGCAGCCTGCTGTCGTTGAGGAACCAGCTGTACTGTGGAAACGTTCCCCGCTCCACCTTACAGTGCAGTTCCACATTGACCACCTGGAAGTCCAGACCCACTTGTTTGAAGGGCGTCACCGTTACAGCACCTCCTACAGACTCTGAGACATCAGGTGTTAGATGTTCTTTCAGTTACACAACACAAAACAATGAATATATAAGGCAAGAAACCACAGGTGAATAGGGTAAAAAATGACTAGTAAATATCACCATACTTCCCCAGTTGATTGATTGGTTTTTTGAAACATTTTTTAGAATTTTCCAAAAAAAATATTGCATTTTGCATGCAAATTTGCAAATTCGCACACATTTCCAGAAAATAAATCTGAATACTGGATAAAGCCAGGTTCGAAATTCTTGCTTGATTTTGTTGACATATTAGAGTTAAAGGTTTTTACTGAGGGGATTTTGGATTTCTCTTTTTATCACTCCATAATTCAGAAAATACTGTGACGAATACAGAAAAAATACATTTTCACAATGTTTTTAGGAATAAAATGTTGTATAAATCAGCGTGAATTAAATATGAACAAACCCCTCAGTAAAAACCTTCAGATTACAGAGAGGAATAAAACTGTAAGTTTTGGTGTTTGTAAGAGCTGCTGAAGTGGAGAAACAAACCCATTTTGAGAAAACATTGACTTTAAGCGACTTTAAAGAAGTGCATTGCAATTGAAATCTACAGGCACAAATAGATAAAGTGTATTAAAATAAACAATTAAAATTGTAATTTGGATGTTTTCTTTACATTAATATAATAGAAGACAAGTTATGGAAGCAAAATATCACTTCATAAATCAGAAAATACTGTCAACAGCCAGAAAAAAAATCAACGGTTTCTCCATATTTTTGGAATAAAGTATTGTATATAATCATTTAAATGATATATGAACAAACCCCTCAGTAAAAACCTTCA